TGTGGCTTCCCTGAAACTTGAAGTAAGTTTGAGGTGTGATACACTATGACCTTTCGTTCTTTACCTCCCCTAACATATCCTTTTTCATAGTTTTCATTTATGCATATCTTTATGTTTTCTTTTGCAATTTAACTATTTATTATTTGTTAATCAAATGAATACTGGGAAAGGCTGATGCTGTCGTACGTATGTGCATGTTAGTGTTACATAAGGCCATGAGAAGAGCAACAGGCGCTGTTCAGTTTTTATGCATAGTCATAACCAGATGCGGGAATAAGCGTATACATGGGCTCCAGAGTTCGCTTCAGCAACCTTTAATTAACTTATCCATTATTTTCGGAATTGAACTCTTGTAATATTATATCTAAGTAGTCGATTTCTTTCATGAACTTTTCAGCATAAATTTCTGTAAACCAGGTGTGTTTCCTCGCCGGTATGGAATAAATCAGTGCTTGTAGCATGTGGTACGATAATTTGCGGTGGTCAATAATACCTTATCAATTATTTTCTTCGGTACTTGTTACAAGAAAGCATCTCTTGTTGGAAACCAGGTTTTATATGGGGTATGTAAATTACCCTCCTCTATCAAAGCCATAGAGGTTTCCTGATGGATGCGCTTTCTGTTCATAATGCAATAGTGATGACCTTTAAAAAAACACCCCCCTCCCCCCCCCCCAAGGAAGGTTGGGGGTGGCGGAGGGGATTCATATTAGTTGAGTCACATGACTAGCGCATTGTAAATGAATTCCTGATGTATCTGGTGTCATCTTCTCCTTCCTGTGATGTTTTATCGAGGGCTATAGGCAAGAATTTCTTTTTCTATGGAAATGTAGCAGAATTGGATAGATCATGAAATAGTCCATTTTTGTTTCCTTAATAACAACTCTAGTGGTCCTGAATAATACAAGAAGCTTCTTGATGTTTGAGAGAAGTAACGAGTACACAAATAAGGTAGATTTTTTTCAGTGAGGGGGAAAAAGGGCATGAATGCGTCAGTTTATAACCAAAATAAAAAACAAATAGGACCTTGTGAAGAATTACAGGAAAACATCAAACCCATCTGCCAGGCAGACTGGCGGTCGACCGGTGCGGTCGACCGCGAACGTGCACGAAGTGTAGTAGGAATCGGAGCTGGTGGCGGTCGACCGCGGCGGTCGACCGCGGACGACTGTAAGTCAGACCTGCGCGGTCGACCGCCGCGGTCGACCGTCGATGTTTCTGGGCTGGGCTTTTGGTTTTCGACCCGATTCGTTTTGTAAGTTATATATATCCCTAAACCTGATTGTTTAGGGTAAGGCAAGGACGAATTTGAGCAGTCTTTGGGAGAGAGTTGTTGCATCCAATTGTGGAAGAGTTGTGAGAGATCAAGAGCATTGTTTTAGGGTTTGGTTTGAGAGATTTGTAACTCTACTTGTATTCTCTGATTTCTAATAGTAAGAACTCCCCCCTCCTTGCCCCGTGGACGTAGGCATCTCGCCGAACCACGTAAATCTCTTGTGTTAGTTGGTGATTGTGCTTGTTTATTTGGTTGTGATCTCTCTTGTTTGGATTGTGTGATTCGACCGCTTCCGCGTCGCGCACAACAATTGGTATCAGAGCTTCGGGTTCGACTTGAGGCTTGTTTGAAGAATTCACTGAAGGATTCCTATTTGAAGAGTTAGATCGACAACATGGGTGAAGCGAACACATCAGGATCGTCTTTTACGAAGACGATGCATAGTTTGAGTATCAATAACATGAAGATCGATGTTCCGAAGTTTGATGACAAGATCAATTTTGGTTTGTGGAGGTGCCAGGTGATGGATGCATTGGACGCTCAGAATTTGGAGGAGACTCTTGAGTTAAAAGAGAAACCTGCCGAGATGGAAGCTAAGGTTTGGAAGAAGATGAATAGTAGGGCATGTGGAGTTATTCGGTCATGCTTGACGCCGAATCTTATTTATGACGTGATGAACGAGACTTTGACGAAGAAGATGTGGGAAACACTCAATGAAAAGTATCTTACTGAGAGCATTGAGAATCTGCTTCACTTGAAGAAGAGGTTTTATCAGTTCAAGATGAAGAAGGGAGTTTCCATTAGGGAGCATGTTAACAACTTCACAAAGCTACTTTCAGACATGGCCAATGTGGATATCATGGTTGAGGATGAAGACAAGGCGATGCTACTTCTGTGTTCGTTGCCCGAGGATGATTATGGTACTTTTGTCCTAACTATGATTAATGGAAGAACTACTTTTAGTTACAAGGAGGTGACCTCAGCGTTGGTGAATTATGAGTTGAGGAAGAGTGTTGACGAGTCCTCCGAGAAGGCATCGGGAGATGCATTAGTAGTTCATGCCCGTGGTTCAAACCGAAGCAGGAGGTCGTAGTCTAGAGGTGCACATCGTGGGATTCGTAGGAATCAGTGTGCCTTTTGTAAAGAGGATGGACATTGGAAAGCCGAATGCCCAAAGTTAGATCGAGCCGAGAAGAATAAGGGAAAAGCTGTACAAGTTTCAGAGGTGAATGTTGTCAAAACTAGTGGCAACAATTCAGATTCGGATTCTTCGGGCTATTCATTGTCTGCACTGTCGTCAGTTTGTGTTGCCTACTCTATAGAGTGGATGTTAGATTCGGGTGCTTCATACCACGTATGCCCTAGGAGGGATTGGTTCTCCAACTTTCAGAAGTTGGAAAAAGAGGATGTTGTGCTCATGGGTAATGGACATGCATGCTCTATTGGTGGTATTGATACCGTCCGTATTCGGATGTATGAGGGAGTGATTCAGGAGTTGGAAGGAGTGAGGTTCGTTCCGCAGCTGTCGAAGAACATCATTTCACTAGGAGCTTTGGTGGCATCTGGCTATAATGTGACCTTGGAGGATGCACGTTTGAAGGTCACATTGGGGTCCATGATTGTTATGAAGGGCGTCAGAAGGAGCAATTTGTATTATTTGCTCGGAAGCACGGCGATTGATAGGGAGATGACGACTTCATCAGATTCGGCTAGATTGTGGCATTGTTTGATGCTGGGTTATTTGATTGGTAATACCGTGTATAGGTTATTGAGGAGTGCTTTGACTTGCAGTTTGAAGTCCTATGAACCCATTGGTATGAGCGAGAAGACCGAGATGGAGTTTAACACTTCTATCCATCATTCGAGGGGTTTTCTGAGGGGTGTTCATTCAGGCATTCAAGGGCCTTCCAAGGGAGCATTATTGGGAGGTAATAGGTATGTGGTTTCCGCAGTTGGGGATTGTTCTAGGCATTGGTGGGTTGCAACCAAGTCCCGTTGGTGTGAAGTCCTAGAAGCCCGTAACAGATATAGGAAGTGTGTTGGTAGAAAGATAACCCGACGTTCTGAGTTTGGTAGGGGTTCTTTCTTGCATTTGTGCCGAGCTCACGGCAATAGGAGACACTTCATTGGTGTGGAAACTTTGAGGCGACAAGGCGAGATGGTAGATCTGGGCAGCTGTTCCTTTCTGGAGGAGGATCGGCGTTTGATATCGAGCATTGGCATTGGTGTGCAGGCTACGACATGTTTGGACCGTCTCATGTATAGGTTGCCGACTGCTGCATGTATAGATATGGGATCTGGTGGAGCTGCTTCAGGTTTTGGGTTGCGTCGGATGTTTGGCTACCCAGCACTTAGTCACATCGAGGATGTGAAATTTGATCCGATAGCACATTTGGGATTTAGATGGAGGTCCCACCGAGACGCGGATGATAGATCTTTGCGTCGGATGTTTGACTATCAGGTATCAGCTTCTGACTTTGTTCTGAGCAGGCATGTCACGTTTGACTCTCAGCAGGTGGAGAGTGGTGATCAGATCTTTGGGACATCGCAGCGGGTGGAGAGTGATGCTACTCCACGTTGGGTGGAAACTCCAGATCATACTGCATCATTTCGGATTCCAGCTGACGTGACACAGATTGTGAATCGTGTTGATTTGGATGCAGATAATAGATTGATTAATTCGAGTGTAGCTGGTAGATGTAGTCTGGATATGGCCATTGGTTCATCTCAGGTGGAGGTGTTTGGATTAGTTCAGTTTGGGGCCATTGGAGGTGCTATCAGCCGCAGACTTGATCGTGATGTTGGAGAATGGTTGCGAACTCTTCTAGTGGATTGAGGCCTTTGGAGGCCATTTGGGTGAACTACGTTCGGCTTGATTCCTTGGGCAAGAGGATATGTAGGCAGTCTTCAGATGCAGCCGGTTTGATCAGTTGTGGGGGGAGAGATCGTCTTTCAGCTCTAGATTGGTTCCCTGACTTGTTGAGGGACTATTGGATGATTTGGTGTCGGCTCAGTTTTGGTGGAAACATTCGCCGAGGTGGAGAATTGAAGAATTACAGGAAAACAACAAACCCATCTGTCAGGCAGACTGGCGGTCGACCGGTGCGGTCGACCGCGAACGTGCACGAAGGGTACCAGGATGAGAGATTTGTAACTCTACTTGTATTCTCTGATTTCTAATAGTAAGAACTCCCCCCTCCTTGCCCCGTGTACTTAGGCATCTCGCCGAACCACGTAAATCTCTTGTGTTAGTTGGTGATTGTGCTTGTTTATTTGGTTGTGATCTCTCTTGTTTGGATTGTGTGATTCGACCGTTTCTGCGTCGCGCACAACACCTTGGATTTCTTGAGTCTCCCAGCAACAAACGCTGGGAATAGTTGAGATTTATTATGCAACTTGGTTAATAATAAAAGACGGGTGACCCCTGCAATTATATATCCCAGTAACCCCCTTTTAACAAGCTCAACTATAGTTTATCCTTCGTGATTATCTCTTAAAATTTAGTTAAGCAATTTAACCTTGCCATCTTCTTCAGAGATGTTAGGTTTTTTATTAAGAAAAAAGACAAATCGTCGATCTTCAATACGTTCAATATATTTTATGTAATATAGGCATGCATACTATATGAATATTGAAAAACAAAATATGTAATAAAAGGGTTAAAAGAATGAAACTGGAGTAGGGATACTAAGACGACTCAAGGGAAACTTTGCAAAACCAATTCTAAAACAACCAAGAAGCATAACACATTTTTTTTTTCTTTTCTTTCTTCCTCACAATATTCAGTCACCAGATATCAGAAGGAAACACCTCAAGTTGTGACCTTCTACATTATGCCAAAAGTCAAGCGACAACTTGCTGCCGTTTCGAATAACAGAAAACAGATGCTATAAGATATTACAACTTCTCCATGGATGTGCTCAGAGTGCAGCTTTGAGAGACTTAGTGAAGGATTCTAGCTTCTTCAAGCCTTCTTCAGGGGATTTTGCCTCTCCTAAAATCCTCACCAGTGCACTTCCAACAATCACGCCGTCTGCTCCCCAACTCGCTATCTGTATCAATAATGAAGAGTAAGTATATAACATACTAGCGTTTAAATTTTCAATATAATAAGTTATTCAATGCTAGTATTTTCACACAACAAACCTGCTTCACATGGTCGGGTTCCGATATGCCAAATCCTACAGCAACAGGTTTGGTTGATGCCTGTAATCGTCGATAGTAACGATAGATATACATCAAATGGTGTTTTTGAAATTTAGTTTCATTATACAAATAACCTGATTATGCCTTCATTTTTTCAAATAAACTTGAGACTGCCTGTCATATAGTCTATTTGCTTTAGTTACCTGCCATGCTATCTACCACTAGATACTTTTTTTTTCACGTTGATGATGTGATTGATGATTGCAACCTGATTTCTCATTTTCTTCTCTCTATTTAAACTTAAAAACAATAATATTGATATATTCCATTTAGGTTTTAGCTCAGGGTACCACAAAAAAAAAAAAAGCTAAAAATGTTTAAAAATACACATACACAAAAAATGCCCTTTTCTACTTTTATCGAATTCACCGCTTTTTCTGAAAGATCTCCAATTAAGCATATTATTACTTAACAACATTAAATTTTATTACTGCCATTGCGCACATTGCTATAGTGTATCTTATGATACTACTGTCAGTTTGTGTTAAATGATATTTCAACTATAAAAAAAAAAAACTAAATAAATGAACACGTTTCACTGTAGAAACCAGACAACTATTTAAGGTTGACAGCAAAAAAGGGTAGGAGTGAAGTGGAAATACCTCTTTGATTTCTTGTAAGAGAGATGCAACGCGTGAACTTACTGATGATCGGGCACCGGTGACCCCAACAGAGCTCACCTATTTCAGAAGATTACAGCCAATTCGAAGAGGTAGGATACAAGTACATAGAGAACGAAGAACATTAATTCCTTTCATGCCTCTGAATTCAGCCTGCAAACATGATGACTGAACAAATAATAAGAGGAACTTACAAGGTATACGAATCCTTCCGCAGCTTCAACAATTGCCTTCATTCGTTCCGAGGGAGTAGTTGGAGTTGTAAGCAGCACCTACGTAAAAACGACGCGAAAGTTAGCCTGATGATATGTTCAAGAACCCCATGACCTCGCAAGTTCGTTCGTGTTCACATAATCTGCTTGTCATGTAGAAACTACTAAGAAATCATGTCATTTTCTATTTCAACTGGTGACCGTAAGCCACTAACAAAAGCCCAAGACTCCCGTGTGTTTTAGCGAAAGTCTGGTGGGTGGCCGGTGGGGGTTGGCAACTTGTCTCCTTTGCTTTTCTCTTTTCTCCACAAAAAAAACACCCAAAACTCACAAAAAAGCAAATTAGATAAAAGGGTACACATGACACAGCTAATAAAAAGGGAGGGAGGGCGGCAACGGGGAACACGCGGTGAGCTCTTCACCTTTATCTCCAATGTCAACGTCAGTTGGCATCATCTCTATCTGTATATAAAAGGATTCGGGTTCGGCAGTGGATGGAGATCGAGTTCAAGAAAGCAACTATCAGTTCTTCTTCCTCAGTTGATATCTCTTACTGAAGTAGTTTCATGTCACGCTCCTGAGCATGGCAACCGAGTGCAGAAAAGATCCGGTCTTGATCTTGAGGATGGACGGAGAAGATCTCAAGGAGTTCGTTGGAAGCACGCAATTCGAAGCTGAAGCAATAACCATATACTCACAGTTGGCTCACGCCGACGCAAATTTGCAAGAGTGCCTTACTATGGCCTTGGAGAAGCTCTCAGTTGATCATGGAATGCCACCTTCTACCGATCCTTGGGTTTATGGAAGCATCGTCGAACCTTCGCTGCAATCACTTTCAGCAGGGCTTAACGAGCCGATCTCACAAGAAATCTTTCTCGAAAAGTTTAAGAAGCTTGTCAACAATATCATCCAGCGGCTTCATGAGCACCCAGTTATTGTTGCCCACAGCGAAAACAGTTTCGACGGAACTGCCATTCGCAGATTGCTATCCAACAGTTTCGAGCTAAACAAGTTGCTAGATGTGGTATGGAGAGACTTGCCAAAGGATCAGAGTGTAAATGCATCAAAGGAGTGCATTTTATTTGCTCTCGATAGGCTAGCAATTTCAGCAGAATTGCCTCCTCGTGGAACCAATGACCAGGTTGACGTAATCGTGAATGAAGTCATTGAGATGGTCAATGTCGACAACATAAAGAGCATGAATGAACAAGAGCTCAAGAAGAAAGTTGCGGACGTTCTTGAAAGTCTAAGTTTGCGATTGGGAGCTAACCCTATCATTTCCTCTTCAAACTTGGTGATCGATGAGCCTTTAGCTTCTTCTCCACCGCCAACGCCCATCCCGAGCGACTGATTTATGCTATGTATTTTAGCCTCTTAGCATCTTCATATTTGTCTATCTATGTTTTGTGTGCTTTAGTTCATATTTTCTAGTAATTCAGCTGTCAATCTTCGTAAAATGGTAATTAGAGCTTTGGAATGCTTCCTTTGCATCTCCATGTATATTTAAAGAAAAAAGGGAAAAGAAAGAAAAAAAGAAGAAGAGAAACCCCCAGTTAGATACTTTTTTCAAGTATTTGTCATAAAATTTGGCATGAGTCTACTCTTCCAACAGAAGAGAACATCAGAACCTAACTTGTTTATTTAGTTTGACAGAACTCGCAGACCTATAGTCATGCCCAGTTTTCTTTCCCCATTCACTGCAGAAAAGAAAAGGAGTCCTCAAACTTTCACTGAGAAGGGCAAGGTACCCAGGGTATTTATTGATCAGGAAAATAGATACAAAATATACATGAAGAAGAGGGAAATACTAGAAAAGGGAAAAAATTATAAAAGAAAAAAAAGTTCTAAACAACTTTCTGAATCAATGGGTCATACCGCTTGGAGATGATCTTCGTCATTTCCAGTGTAAGACGATGTTGTCGTCATTTCCAGTGTAAGACGATGTTGTCATACCAGAAAGAAGATGAACATAAAATTAGACAATGAAGAACATGCGAGAATGACACAATCCAATTGTTTGAGGAGATCATGGGATGTTTTGGCGCCAAGAATCCCAAACTGTTGCAGCCGATGATGGAAATGCAATGGCGGGGATGAGGTTCCAAATACTGAGAGCGAAAGAGCATTGGAGGAAAATATGAAACGTGCAGGCTTATGTGGCCAACCCTTCCTAGCTAGCATGAGAATTTTGATCTTGAGCAGAGCATGTGCCAACCATAGTTGAAGGAGAGACGAGATACACTACCTTTTCATTATGAAGGCACCCCTTGTCCAAGTTCTAACATCCGGTCCTTTGGTCCAATAATGAGTATTTAGAATGTTAGAGGAGATACGTTACAATTGAAGAGCCCTATAATGAGATAATTTTTCTCACGTGTTCTTACAATCAGAATTGATTCTATGTTACAATTGAAGAGCCCTATAATGAGATAATTTTTCTCACGTGTTCTTACAATCAGAATTGATTCTATGAAAACATAATGAGGAAGAATAATGAAACCAGAGTGGAAAATCTAGCTCGAAAGAGGCATTTTTAACTGAGGAACGCGAGGAGCGACTAAAGAAAAGATAGTCAAGAAAGAGTAGGAAAAGAAATAACTGAGCGCTCGTCAAAGCTTCAAAACAAATTTCACTGGAGATATCGATTTCTTCACGAATGATCCCGTTTGATGGAATTTGAAGAACACAACACTCTACACAAAGGAAACTTTTATTGATAGAACACTTGAGAATACAACACTTGTTCTTACAAGAACACCTCACTTTCACACAACTCCTTTATTTTTGTGGACACTCACACAAGGCTACACTACACACTCAAGTTCTCAAGCTCACTTCTTGCTTGCTTGCTTAAATGAGAGCACAAGACCCCTATTTATAGTTGTTTAAGAGGGCTAGGAAGTGTGTAGAAGAGTTAATCCTAGCCATACATTACTAAGAAGTTTCTAGAAGAATAAATACTAGCCATGTATCTTCCTAGAAACTTCATGGTAGATATTTTATAGGATGTTACTAGAAAGAAGTTCTAGAAAGTTGTTCTAGAATAATCTAAGTTGGTGAGGAATTCTAATATCCCCCTCATCACCAACTTTCATTTCTCACAAGTCCAAGCTTCTTCTTAAGCTTCAAAAATATCTCTGTCTTTAGTGGCTTGGTGAAGATGTCAGCGATTTGGTCTTCAGACTTGCAATATGTCAGCATCACAGTCTTCTTTTTAACTTGATGTCGGATGAAATGATATCTTGTCTCTATGTGTTTGCTTCGTCCATGTGCTACCGGATTTTTGGCAAGTGCAATAGCTGACTTGTTGTCGATGAGAATCTCTGTCGGTGCTTCTTGTTGGTGTTGCAATTCCTTCATCAGACTCCTGAGCCATATTGCTTGACACGCACATGTCGATGCTGCTATGTATTCTGCTTCGCAACTTGATAGAGCGACGACAGACTGCTTCTTTGATGACCATGAGAATGTTGCTGATCCGATATTGAACATGTAGCCAGATGTGCTCTTTCTTTCATCTAAATCTCCACCATAATCGCTGTCGGTGTAGCCGACTAATCTTGAATCTGCACACTGTGTATAAAATAATCCTTGATCAATACTTCCTTTCTCTGATTGTGACACTTCTACTCCAAGAAAGTATGACATTTCTCCAATGTCAGTCATCTCGAACTCCTTGATCATGTTCTTCTTGAACTCCTCGAACATTTTTGGATTGTTACCGGTGAAGATCATATCGTCAACGTAGAGACATACGATCATAATGTCGTCATCATTCTTCTTGGTATAGAGAGAGTGCTCATACGGACTCTGATGGAATCCATTCTTCTGGAAGTATGCATCGATTCTGGCATTCCACGCTCTGGGCGCTTGCTTCAGTCCATACAATGCCTTCTTCAGCTTGTAGACTTTGTCTTCTTGATTCTTCACCTCGTACCCTGGTGGTTGCTTGATGTAGACTTCTTCTTCTAAGTAGCCGTTTAGAAATGCAGACTTCACGTCCATCTGGTAGATCTTCCACCGGTTCTGTGCTGCCAATGCGATAATGAGTCGGATGGTGTCGATCCTCGCGACTGGTGCGAACACTTCTTCATAGTCAACTCCTTCTTGCTGACTATAGCCTTTTGCAACAAGCCTGGCCTTGTACTTCTCGATTCCGCCATCTTGATTTGTTTTTGTCTTGTACACCCACTTTACTCCAATTGGTTTATGACCTTCAGGTAAGGTAGTGAGCTCCCATGTGTCATTTCTCTTGATTGCCTCGATCTCGTCATCCATGGCTTTTCTCCACTTGTCTTCTTGAGCAGCTTCTTCATAGCTGACCGGATCACATTCTGCAAACAAGCAGAATAGTGTGTAGTCATCCATCATCTCGATAGGCTCTGTATCGTCGTACAGATCTCTTAGGCTTCTCATCCTCCTTGTTGCTCCCCCTGAAGAGCTTCCTTCACTTGAGCTGGATGGTGATGATGTCAGCGTTGATGTTGGGGTTGATAGAGCTGGACTATTTGGTGGACTTTGTTCTGGTCTTCCAACCTCCTGCAAGTCATCATCATTATCTTCAAAGAACATACCTTTAATGTTTTTGTCTTCATTGGTCCATTTCCAATAATCTTTTTCATCGAACTCCACGTCTCTTGAAATGATCATCTTCTTTGTAATTGGATTGTAGAGCTTGTATGCTTTTGTCCTCCTCTCGTACCCAATGAATATGCACTTTTCTCCTCGATCGTCCAACTTCTTTCTTTTCTGCTCCGGGATGTGTGCATATACAATACACCTAAACACCTTTAAGTGGTTGACACTTGGCTTGATGTTGCTCCACATCTCCAATGGTGTCTTGAACTTGACGCTCTTTGTCGGACATCTGTTGAGGAGGTAAACTGCACAGTCTACGGCTTCAGCCCAGTAAGTCTTCGGCAGGTACTTGCTCTTCAACATGCTTCTGACCATATAAAGAATGGTACGGTTCTTCTGCTCTGCTATTCCATTCTGCTGTGGTGTGTAGGCGGCAGTGAGTTGATGAATTATCCCGTACTGCTTGTTGAAATTGTTGAATGCCTTTGAAGTGTATTCTCCACCTCGATCTGATCGGAGCACCTTGATGTGGTACCCACTTTGCTTTTCTACCATCTCCTTGAATTCTTTGAATTTCTCCAGAGCTTCGGATTTCTCCTTCAGGAAATAAACCCAAGTTTTTCTGCTATAATCATCAATAAATGTGAGAAAATACCTGTTTCCTCCAAGAGAGATGACTTCAAATGGTCCTGCAATATCTGTGTGGACCAATTGTAGCAACTCTGTTGCTCTTCTTGACTTTCCAACTTCGAAACTTCTTCTATGTTGTTTGCCCTTCATACAGCCTTCACATAGCTGGTTCGGATGGTTGATTTGCGGCAATCCTTTTACCATTTTCTCCTTCCATAGAAGATTCAGGCCACTGAAAGCGAGATGCCCGAATCGTAGATGCCAGAGCCAAGTCTCGTCTTTTATGATTGACTTCAAGCACTTGACAGGGTCAGCATGAATATTTAAAGTAAACAGTCTATTTCTAGACATGTTCACCTTTGTAATAACTTCATTTTTGTTTTTAATAGTGAGGGCAAGGTCTTTTAGATGTATATCATAGCCTCTTTCAAGGAGCTGGCCTAGGCTCAAAATATTATTTCATAATGCTGGAACATAGTAGACATCAGAGATGTACCTGTTCTCGCCCGTATTTGTCTGGATCATTATATTACCCTTGCCTTTTACTGGAATCTTTGACTGATCTCCAAAAGTGACATCTCCTTGTACCGTCTCGTTCAGCTCGGTAAAGAAGTCCTTGATGCCGCACATGTGGTTACTGGCACCTGAATCTAGATACCAGATATCTTTATTCTTGCTTTCGCTCTCCTGGTATGTCAGCAGGACTGTTGAAGTGTCTGCCTGCTCCCTTTCTACAAAGTTACTTCTTTCTGCCACTTGATTTGATTTCTCCCAACATTCGTAGCTGAGATGACCGTATCTCTTACATTTGTAACACTGTGGCTGAGATCTGTCCTCATGGTAACTTCTTCCTTGTCCTCGTCCTCGTGTGCCACGACCTCGTCCTCGATCGAATGATCGTTCACGATCTCTATTTCGATCTTGATTTTCATGGCCTCCTTGGTACTGTCTCCTACGACCTTGCTGGAAGTTTGAGCCACCTCGAAATGAGCCTCTGCCTCTGTAGCCTCCACGTCCTCTTCGACTATCTTCTTTGATAGTCATCTTACTCTGCAAGGCTTGTTCTAGATTCTCCGCTTGATTTGAACTAATGTTTATATCTTGTTCATAAGCTTGCAGAGAACCTTGCAGCTCATCAATAGATACTTCGGAAAGATCTTTAGACTCTTGTATTGCCGGAATAATATATTTGAATTTAGAGTCTAAAGTCCTAAGTATCTTCTCCATAATTCTTACATCATTAATTGCTTCTCCATTTCTCTTCATTTGATTTGTTATTGTCTGAACTCTACTAAAATAATCCGATATTGATTCTGTAGCTTTCATCTTCAAATTTTCAAATTCAACTCTTAATGCTTGGAGGCGTACCTTTTTGGCTCTTTCCGCACCTTGATAGGATTTTTGTAAAATCTCCCATGCTTCTTTAGAGGACAGGGCGTTGGAAATCTTCTCAAACGCTGATTCATCTACGCCTTGGAATATTAGGAACAAAGCTTTTTTGTCTCTTTTTCTGACTTCCTTCAGCTCACTCTTCTGTGTGGCGGTTGTTTTCGTCAAAAGTTGGTTTTGTTATGGAATTCATTATATCTTCGGTCGATTACAATAAACTCAAAAAGAGATAGCCTTTTTATAAGACTTTTTTTACACAACAAAATGAAAATTACAACTCTTGGGAAACAAACGCAGGATCGTTGTTTGGATCACTGCTTGCGTGGGATCTTTGCCTGTGCCGGGGGTGCGTTAGCCCGTGGACCACCAAATCACAGATTCTGATCGAATCGTGAGGGGTTTATGATTCTGACTTTGTTTATCGAAGTGAGAACTTGAAACGATATCTTATCAAGGTAAGATAGTCGTTCTTCTTGAAATCAAGTCAAGGCCTGAATATCAAGGAGTTGCCAGAAGCTCAAGAACTCTGCTCTGAATTGCTCTGAAGTGCTCCAAATGATCAGCCCCTTCAAAAATGGCCTTCGGGGGGTATTTACAACCCATAGGAATAGTTGGCAGAAAACAGGCTCGCGAGACAGCATTTGCTGTCTCGGTGGGCGAGACAGTGTTTGCTGTCTCGGCGGGCGAGACAGTATTTGCTGTCTCGGCCCGCGAGACAGTAAACGCTGTCTCGCAAACAGTAACTGTCAGGCAGTTTTCGTTTTAACTGCCTTCCCACGTTTCAAACTCCGTTATTTTGACAGTTATCCACGTGATTCTCGCCCCTACGACTCTTCCCACGTTCTTGAACAGTTAGTGGCCACGTGTTAGCGGCAGTTACAAAGCGTGGTTTTTGCACCATCTCAAAGCTGTCTCGCTGGCGAGACAGTAAAGTCTGTCTCGCTGGCCGAGACAGTAAAGTCTGTCTCGCTGGCGAGACAGTAAACACTGTCTCGCTGGCGAGACAGCAAAGTCTATCTCGCTAGCGAGACAGCAAATACCCTGTCTCGCTGGCGAGACAGCAAAGACTGTCTCGCTGGCGAGACAGCAAAGTCTGTCTCGCTGGCGAGACAGTTCATACTGTCAGTTTGAGTGGTTTTCCTATGTTTGGATATCTTTCAGCATTTTTTGACGCCTACAGATACCCCCTCCAAAGTATTCCAAACTCATTCTTTTATAGAAGAGTCTGGGATACTTTGGATAAGACAGGTTTTATCTGCAAATCCTTCAAAGCTTGATTGAGGAGATCATAGGGAAGGACCCATAAATGACTTCAACTCTTGACTTCGTCATCTTTTAGCCTATTCAGTGCTTTGTAGAATAGTTAAAATTCCTCCGATGCTGTATTTATCGCGTGACCGTCGTCGAAGTCTTGAATTAGAACCGCTATTGAAGAATGTAGAGATAGTTTATACTCATATACTTTATTGGAGTGTTCGGGAAATAGTTTAACCTCATATACCCGTTGGGAGGTAATCAGGTTATTTTTAAGAATATTCTGAGTAATATTCTCCAGAAACTTCCTGTTGATGGTAGGGAAACAGTTTAGACTCGTGTACCTCTTGGAGTAATATGGTCTCTTTTTTGGTGGTAGAGATGAACCCAATGATGGAGAGGAAGAATTTTATATTCTATCTCCTGGTCTCTTTTTTGTTGGTAGAGATGAACCCAGAATCGGAGAGGAAGAATTTTATATTCTATCTCCTGGTCTCTTGTTTGTTGGTAGAGATAAACCCAGAATTGGAGAGGAAGAATTTTATATTCTATCTCCTGGTCTCTTGTTTGTTGGTAGAGATAAACCCGAAATCGGAGAGGAAGAATTTTATATTCTATCTCCTGGTCTCTTGTTTGTTGGTAGAGATGAACCCAGAATCGGAGAGGAAGAATTTTATATTCTATCTCCTGGTCTCTTTTTTGTTGGTAGAGATGAACCCAGAATCGGAGAGGAAGAATTTTATATTCTATCTCCTGGTACAAAGGAAATTTGAAGTGGGATTTCTATTCAGAGAATCTGAATAAGGTTTGATCAATTGAGATTGGAAGCAATCCTAACTTTTATAGGTTTGATTGCGCAAATCGAATGTGGACCTCTTGTTCATGGAAGGAATCAAGAGGGGATTTTGGCTTTGGTCCTAACTGTTTAAAGGTTTGACCAAGATGGGAATTTGAGACGATCCTAACTGTTTAAAGGTTTGATCGTTCAATTTGTGGACCTCTCGTTCATGGAACGAATCGAGAGGGGATTTTGGCTTTGGTCCTAACTGTTTAAAGGTTTGACCAAGATGGGAATTTGAGACGATCCTAACTGTTTAAAGGTTTGATCGTTCAATTTGTGGACCTCTCGTTCATGGAACGAATCGAGAGGGGATTTTGGCTTTGGTCCTAACTGTTTAAAGGTTTGACCAAGATGGGAATTTGAGACGATCCTAACTGTTTAAAGGTTTGATCGTTCAATTTGTGGACCTCTCGTTCATGGAACGAATCGAGAGGGGATTTTGGCTTTGGTCCTAACTGTTTAAAGGTTTGACCAAGATGGGAATTTGAGACGATCCTAACTGTTTAAAGGTTTGATCGTTCAATTTGTGGACCTCTCGTTCATGGAACGAATCGAGAGGGGATTTTGGCTTTGGTCCTAACTGTTTAAAGGTTTGACCAAGATGGGAATTTGAGACGATCCTAACTGTTTAAAGGTTTGATCGTTCAATTTGTGGACCTCTCGTTCATGGAACGAATCGAGAGGGGATTTTGGCTTTGGTCCTAACTGTTTAAAGGTTTGACCAAAATGGGAATTTTGTGAGGGAAGATTGATCTAAAGAGGTGATCGAATCTCATCTCAGCAAAAGAGTATTCGGAAGTCATAGTAGGAGTTTAGTGTTTATCACTTTGTTCATAATGATCGGGGTTATCCCTAAGAATATTACATTTAACATTCTTCCGGGAACTTCCCGTTATATGAATTATCCACCCCCAACTTTCTTTGCAAAACTGGGTGTAACGAGGAGTACGTTATCCTCATTCGCATGTTCGGGTTATCCTTAAGAATATAAGATTCTCCAGGAATTTCCCGTTATATAAATCATCCACCCCCAGTTTCCTTTGCGAAACTGGGTTTAACATTGTACTCAGTTGGATAATCGAGAAGCAGTTTATACTCATATGCTCTGTGGAGTGTGGGGAAACAGTTTATACTCGTGCACCCACTGGAGTTGTATGGTCGTGTTTACTCGACTTCCTTCGTCGTTATGACGCCGGAGTCAATTAGGGCTTGGATCTTGTTTTTGAGTCCAAAGCAAATCTCGGTGGGATGAAGAACCCTTCTGTGGTACGCACAATAGTTTGGATCCGTAATCCTCTTAGCTCCATCCTGATCTTTAATAGGTGGTAGCTCGATTTTGTCATTAGCGAGGAGGTATTCTAATATGGCTGGAGCTTCATCATCTTCGAAAGAATATTCCTTTTGAAACCTCGGATCGAGAGTCGCATTCTCAACGATTGTAGATGTCATTGGTTGGCCTCTCTCAGCTTTCTTTCTTTTAAGAAAGTGCTCAGCTTGTTCACCCCGAGATTTTAACTCCTTCCAAGTTGTGGATGGCACGACTCCCAGAGCTTCCAGGACATCGATGGAGAGGTTATTATAGCATGTTTGCAGGATGAACTCCTCTGTAATAGGATCTCTGCAATTCATTGCTTTGTTACGGAAACGTTTGATAAAATTGTCAACTGACTCTCCGTCTTTTTGCTTCTCATCCAAAAGGGTTCCGATTGACACTTCGGTGTCATCATCGAAGAAATTGCTGAGGAACAAACTTTCCATGTTATCCCAACAATTGATGCTCCCTAGCTTGAGTCGTCGGTACCAATCGAAGGCGGACCCACGAAGGGTGCCAACGAATGACCGAACCATTAAAGCCTCGTTTCCAGAAATCATGCCTAAATGAGACTTGAAATAAATCAAGTGCTGAATCGGTGAACTCTTCCCCTCAAACGGTGTGAAGTTAATCAGATTGAACTTTGTCGGATACGGTATTGAATCCCATTCTCTTGGATAGGGACACGGAATACCTGTCTTTTTCCCTTCTTGAGCCGTCATCAAAGCGTTGATTTTGTTTTCAAGCTCTTTCATTTTCTCGTCCTCGTCTATGTCTTCATTCGAAGGACGTCGAGGAGAATGAGTTAGACCACCCCCTGTGAGAGGTGCCATTGAACCACTCCCAATATCGTTATTGGGAGAATGTGTTAAACCACCCCCAGCGTTATTGCTATTGGGAGGTGTATCAGCCATAATGACTTCATCCACCTCTGGATCACTGTCCTCTACAACATTCCGAGTGTGGTGGCTGGATTCAAGTCGCTGATTGGACTCAGGAGGTTGAGGCTGTTGAGTTAACAGTTCTCTCATTTGTTGGATAGCCAACTTCATTTCTGTCTTCACTTCAGCTCTAATTTCTTCACGTTGTTTGGCTAGAGCTTCCTGAAGTATTTGAGTGAACTGATCAGCAGTGATTGTGAATACTTCTCTGATTTGTCCTGTGCTAGACATTGTATCATCAGAAGCGATTGCAGAATAAGTGTCCGAGAATTCATCCTCCGAGGACATTCCTTCTTGCATTCTCTTGTAATTTCTGCGTCTGATGGCTCCTAATTGGAGTCGAGACATCCTTTGAGCAATTCTTGGATTGACTCTTCCTCTCGGGGAAAAGTCAGGATTTGAGTCACTTGAATGCCGCTTAGACTTTCTTTTATCAGCCACGTTGATGGTAACTTCAGGGAATTCATCATCTTGGACAGCTGATCTTATAAGTCGTGCACAGGAACAATGAGAACGAACAATTCTTTTTCGAAATTTATTCACACCCCCAATTTGATAATACGATTCATCGGTATGATTGCCAAAAAAT